TCATGCCAGTGCATGCTGTCTGTCGGACGGGCAAACTGGCTGAATTAGAAAATTCACTGGGGAGGTCTGCTCCGAAACGCGGTAAAGGCCCTCGTACTTTGGAACGAGCTTTGAGGGAAGGCCATTAGTTTGATAAGGTACAGCCACCCTTACAAGAGATCCCGGGGAATAGATGTGGCTCCGTGGAGAGTCGACATTGCTTTTCTTCTGGTGCTATTGTTACTGTGATGTAAAGGTGCCAGCGAGTTCATAGCACTCTTCCGTTTTTGGGGAAGCTTCGGACACAGGTGGGCATTCGGACGGGTCTGGACTATATGGAAACGGAGTGTCGATTATAGGAAGGTTAGCGATCATAGAGGGGGGAGAAAGGTGGAAATCCGGAGGTAGACTTAGCCACGGTTTTGTATGCAAACGCGATATATAGAAGAATGCGGTCCGAGTTAGCATGATCAGATGTCGCGTGCATTGCGAGCGTATCGCCGAGGGTGCGGTTATATCGCTTGGTGAGCCAATTAGACTGTGGGTGGTATGCCATGGTCTTACAATGGACAACGTGGCATTCGGAAAGTAGAGTTGCGACAACTTTTGATAGAAAGGCTTGACCTCAGTCACAGCGTAGTCCTCGAGGTGAACCACTTCGAAGGATGAAGCGATGGAGGACGAAAGACGCAACGTCCCGCGCAGTGGCACTTGGAAGGGCGGCGGTTTCAGCGTGGCGTGTTAAATGTTCCACAGTGACTACAATCCACCAATTACCATGTGATGTTATCTGTAGTAGGCCATATTGAATACTTCTGACCCGATGAAAAGGTTTGGCAGGACACAGAAGTGGCTTAAGCACACCGGGCGAGTGGAAAGGAGGTGATTTACAACGCTGACAGCCAGGGCAGCCCATAATAAGTTTGCGACAAATATGCACACCACACCAGTGGAAGCGATGCCGAATGCGTTTGAAGTTTTGAAACTCCGGCATGGCTACGTTGCACATCGTTGTGGAAGGAGGCGAATATTTGTGACTGCAAGCTGCGGGAGGCAACCAAGAGCCACTTAGACCCTTCAGGGACGTAGTGGCGTTGGTGTAGCAGCCGATCATGAATGGCGAAATGAGCCGCTTGATGTCGGAAAGATCGCGATACCGGCGGGGTCGACCACCAGAGAGATAGTCAAAAGGGGAAGCAATCCATGGGTTCTGGTGTTGTTCGCTGGCTAATCAGTCAAGGTCGAGCGATGCGATGGAGTTGGAGCCATTGGATTCACAGTCCGAGTCGGGAGATAAATGTTAAGGGGATAGGGCGTCTGCGTCAGAGTGCTTGCGTCCACTGCGATGAATGACGCGAATGTCCACTCCTGGACTCGCAGTGCCCAGCGGGCTAGGCGGCCAGAAGGGTCTCTCACTGTGGCGAATCAGAGCGCATGGTGATCCGTTACCAGGTCGAACTGTTGACCGTACAAGTAAGGGCGAAACTTGTGAAGCTCCCACACTTGAGATAAGCACTCCTTTCAGTGACGCTGTAGTTGGCCTCAGCTTTAGTGGGTGTGCGACTCACATAAGCGATGACGTATTCGAAGTATAGCCCGGCTTACGTTGGACGAAGGCAGCGCAAAGACCAACGCCGCTAGCGTCTGTGTGAACTTCCGTTGCAGCTGTTGGGCCGAAATGCCAAGGAATGGAAGGAGAGGTGAGTAGACGACGGAGCGTGTCGAACGCGATGTCACAGTCAGTGCAATAAAAGGAAAGGTCTGTGTCACCGCGTAGGTGGTTGGTCCGTGATGACGTGATCGACGCTACATTATGAACGAAGCGCCAGAAGAGCGTAGTCTGACGAAACTGTGTAGTTCTTTGAGCGTAGCAGGCTCTGGGAACTCGGCGACTGCACGAAGTTTTGCAGGGTTGGGTACAAGACCATGCTTGGACATGATGTGCCCTAAAATTGACAGCTCTCGCGCGGCGAAGCGGCACTTTTTGAGGCTCAGTGGGAGCTCAGCGTTGGTTAAACACGTCAGAACCAGACAGACGTACGAACAGACGGACAAACAGATGTACGGGCGCACAGACAGACAGACAGACGGACGGGAGGGCGGACGGACGAATGGATGGGTGGGCAGACAGACAGAGAGACGGATGGACGGGTGGACAAACAGACGAGGCGAGTGGATGATTCATGGCTTGCTGATGAAACCCTTCGCAGCTTCGCCCCACTCATCATCATTCACTCTGTGGGTATGCTGTGATTTTTTTTTCTCTGGGTACGATTCATCGCGTCTGATGAGCGCGCCTGGTTTTCACGTAACTGTTGGAAATCAGAGGCGCATGCTTTCTTGAGAACTGGTTCGTGACAGCACATGACTTTATATATGCTACAGAGGAAAAACTCATTCCAATAATTTCGCGACGTTTTTCACTTTACCCTTACAACATCAGACTCACTGACGGGTAAAATTTTCTTCGCGGTATGAGCAATAAGCACCGTAAAAATGGCAGTTAGTCTCTTTACCCTAAAAGTGAACAGTTACCGTTAGAATCTACTGAAAAAAATTGCTAGTTACCGGTAGTGTGTTAATAGTAACTAGTTTTGTGTGAGGGTTTTACGTGCCGAAACGATGGATATCTGAGAATACATACACGCTCCATTCCCGGTACTGCAGCATGCCTATGATTTATCTGCCCAGCAGAACAACGACCGTCAATTTCCATTCTAACAATATGCACGTTTTCAATGGTAATGCCAACACTACGCATACTGCTAATTGAATCTTTGCAGCTACTTGTGGAACGTTACGTTTCGCAGTGCAGTGAAGTCAGTATTCTTTATAAAATTTGCAAAAATTAAATTTTCCTGACCGAAAACTAGCGAAATTAGCTCTAGCCTGCATGGACAAGATATATGTCTGAAATCCGTGAAATCTGTCTGACGTCACGTAAATAACCGACTGTAGTTAAGCAAGAAGTCTATGTGAATTTTGGCGTGGGTATGACGGCGACCGCTGTAGGCTTAGCTTGCGTTTATTTTCAGGCTGTAACCGACTATAGTAACTAGTTACTGCCCAGGACTGGTTACCATATGCTTACGTGGTTTCAGTTCCAGGAGTAATTGTAGCATAATGTCCCATGTATATTTTACCAAGGAAGCGTTCTATCCCGCAGTTCGCAAAAACTCTAGCGACGATGAGCAACCGGTGCTGTACCAACTGAGCAACCAAGGCAGATGCAAGGCACCTTACGAAAGCACCTTACATATCTCACACGCATTGCACAGCGCTTTTCGGAGGTGGGGCGGGATAGTATTGTCTTCTATGAGCAGTAATGAGAAGTATTATGCCATGAAACTTACTGGCACCCAACATTGTCTGCCTATAGTCAGCGATTTCTCGATGACGCAGTTACAGCGTGGCCTCGGAGATTGCTTTATTATTCTCCCGAGTAATAAGGAAACCGACACCAATGGACATGAATGCACTGTCACAGCATGTCACTTACCTCCTTAATTGACGGCGTTTTGAAAAAGTGCACATTGAATACCAGTATTGTGTGATGTAGTTTGACACGGGATTCACGTTACGCCGTGTTCAGGTATAGGTTAAAAAACATGGCATATCCACGATTTTTATGATGACGAGTAAGAGAAGCAGCAAGATCGTTCAGTGTTGTCATAATTACCTCTGACCTTGTCCATTCACGCATGCAAAGGGGTTCCAAGCGGTGCACTAAATATACAATGTTCATTAGTCACAACTTGTATGTTCAGGTCGTGTTCTGAATATCCTAGTGACTTCATTAATAATGCTTTCTGGTATCGGATCTAGCCGGACATTGGCAAGGACTAGGCCCGGGAACATTCCCTTTGGTGGTTGTTTGTTGTTTTCAGTCTTACGAAATGCATCGTAGAGCATATCGAGATGTCCCGTACTGCACATGCCCGCCGTTGTCCGTGATAATCACCATCGTCTTCATCGTCATCATCGTCATGACATATAAAGGGTACCTTACATGTCCTGTGCCTTAATGGTAGAAAGGGACGGTGTGGTCTTTACCGCTCTTGTTCTATACTGTCATAAGCATAATCGTCATCGCCAGTGGTTGCTACAGCGCACAATGCCAAAGCCTACGAATAATGCACAACTAAAACTTTAGGAACAATAGTTAATTGTCCCTGAAGTTTTAGGTGTGAACCTACTGAAGCTTGTGCATTATTTGTAGGCTTTGGCATTGTGCGCCGTAGCAACCACTGACGCATATTGCACATTGAAAGTTTGTGATTGTAATTTAACTAATCACGATCATAGGTGGTTGTCGTGGCGACTGAGGTCCGCCACGAGCCGTCAACGTAGGTGCATCCACGTCAAACGGGGCCACCGCTGGCAAACATCATTAGAAACTGCAGAAACTCATATTTACTGCACGATAAGCACTGTATCGATGAAGGCAATTATAACTTTGGTGTTATACCAATCCTTTTGATGGAGGTATCACCCATGTTTTATTTAAAAATGTTAACAGCACATAGAACAGTTTGGAAAGAACGAGACAATGGAGGGAAAGAGCGCGACTTTAAACTAGATTTATTTCGATAAGAAGGGCATACATAAAAGACAAGGGGCAGGATGCGAGACAAAAAAGAAAGAAAAGAAAGGAAGTACAGGTGCTATCTTTGTTGCTTCACCCTTTTTTGTACTCCGAGAATGCCGCCTCATGTCAATACATGTGTCCTGAAACCCAGCCGGATAATCATATTCTTGATTTAAAAGCGCTAGAGAGGCTGCGCTGAAGCACTAATCAAATCCGTTTCAATAAATTTGTGAGTTAGTTGAACCGCATGCTTTGCCAGCACTTTGCTTGCCAGGACAAGCTTTCCAGGACAAGCCAGGGCAATGAATGCTGATCTGACCCTGCACCTTATTGAAGACGTTGTCGTTGTGCTCACGCGATCTGTCTGTCTGTCTGTCTGTCTGTCTGTCTGTCTGTCTGTCTGTCCTTTCCAACTATGAATCTGCCTGTGCAGAGGTGAAGCCTATAACGTTCACTGGTGAGAGGAGACATGGCTCGTAGCCTGATTCCATCGGCGTGCTTCCCCCGCCCTGGCGTCGGACGTGACTACAGGTGGGACACCTGGGACACGTGGGACAACAGCCGGCTGTTCGACCAGCACTTCGGCACCGCACTGCTTGATGATGACCTGTGGGCTCTACGGCCCGCACGGATGGGCATGCGGGCTCCTTTCCGTAGACAGTTGTCCAGGGGAGGAGGCGGGGTGTCCGAGCTGCGGAACGAGCCGGATTCCTTCCAAGTGAGTGTAACAATCGGCCAACTAATTCTCTTCAGTTTGTACGTAACCTCACAAATCTCTAATGCTATTGAAGGAAATCGGAAACTACACCGATGCCCAAGAAAATTTAAGGATATATATAGGAAATGTGATGCCAACCACGGAAAAGCACTACATGAACAACGAGGAGAGGTGTGAGTTTGGCTGCAATCTGGATCGTTTTGTTTGATTGAACTCTTTTTTTCAAGTTATTTGGAGAGATGAATGAGTTAATTGTGAGGCAGAAAGGTGCAAAGACGGTGAAAAGCAAAGGTGTATGCGCACACACGGAGGGTGCTTGTTTCCCATCGGCTGTCGTTAGCTTCGCGTTTGAAGACGCTACGTATTTGTGGTAATGTTTTACAAGTTATTAGGGTGTTTTAGTGGTGCTGGTGTGCCATGCTTTATATGCTGCGAGATTACCATTGAGTATATCTTTAACTGTATCCCGGTCTTGAAGGTCAACACTTAGGTTGATGAAGGTGGCTCTCACTTTGGGGCAGCGAGGTTTAACTTTTGTGGGCCATCTGGATGGCTTCTGCTTTATCTCAAAGAGCTACACTGTACAACACTGTTTGCCGCGAGTCTCTTTCCTTGTCACGGTCTCTGAAAGCAACAAGACACGGCCGAAACCTGTGCCATTCACCTAGAGCAACGATTCCATTCCACTTCACGCAATTGATTTGGATCTCTCTGTCTGTATATATCTTGCCAATGAAGCTTGGATTCGGGTAAGCTATTACCACGACACAAAAACATTTCATGTTCCCGAGTCGCTCGATCATAACGGCCACTTTATAGGGTGGTAGGAGATATACAGGTCTTGCAGATTGAAATGGTTACGTGTCGACCACGAGCTTCTGGAACTGCCGCCCTAACCGTGTGGTAGAGCCACTCGGCTAAAATAACCTGTCTCGTGCTCACCGCTTGTGCTTGCCGCTTCCAATGAGCGGCACCACTGTGCAGGTGATGCTGGACGTGAGCCACTTCTCGCCGGAAGAGATCACGGTCAAGACGGTGGACCGGTGCATTAGCGTGTTGGCTCGCCACGAGGAGCGCATGGATGAGCACGGCTTCGTGTCTCGCGAGTTCACACGCCGCTACGTCCTGCCCGAAGACACGCTGCCCGAGCAGGTGTCCTCGACGCTTTCGCCTGATGGTGTGCTCACCATCACGGCGCCCAAGGTGCCTCCTTCCACGGCGCCCAATGAGCGCATCGTGCCTATTGCCATGCAAGGCGCCGCCGCTGCTGCCATGCCGCTAACGGTGCAACACGAGCCCTGACGCTCGCCGGTGGACAATAAAATTGTTTCGCAATGTCTTGTCTATGCATTGTTTCTGATTAAGAAGCCAACATACTGGAACTGATTAAAGTACAAAGCCAGCCAGCTTGAGAGGCGAACACATTTATTGACGAATACAGAATAGCTCGCCCATTCTCGGCGAACTTTTGTGCCGATGGGGGGGTGGGGGGTGGGAGAGGCTCATTACACCTGGTCGTCGCGTGAGACACACAGGCTTCTCGCTATTCTGGGTTGTGCTTTGTAATGAGGAGAAAAAATTTGAAAGGGTTGAGAAACACGCAGGTTGGTTAGTTGGTTCGTTGTGAAACTTTATTGTGGTCTCGCAAGGCACGCGTTAGCGCCCAGCGGGCGACTTGCTTGATGGGACCGTCAAGCCAAGCCTTTCGGCTACTCCACGGGCCTACTGGACCACCCGAAGTTGGTCAGCCAGCAGGGAGCTGTGTAGGACCCACTCCTACCTGACCGAAGTAGTGTAGGGGTTAGTGTACATTGCTTTGCACTTCCAGAACATGTGCGCTACCGTGGCTACATGCCAGTCAAGCGTCATTGCGGAACATGTCTGGATAAACACCATGAAGGGAGCTCTGGTTAAGTGCGTGTTCATCTGCAGTAGTCTGAGCGTAAGAGCTTCTGGCCTATTATGTTTTAGATGATGGAGTGGATATAGTCTTCGCGCAAGGTAAAAAATGTGTTTTTACACTGTACGTGGCAGGGGCACCCTAGCAGTTTTCGGCAACCCCGTTGTCCCCGAAGCATCGCCCGGAATCAGCGCGGCCGGCATGCGCGCGCACGATCTCGTGGCCAGTGTGTGGGAAAATCCTCTCAAAAAAGTGTGTGCTGAGCACTTGGTATTTCACGAAACCTTACTCAAGAAGTGAAGTTTGCTTTGAGAGCTCATCGGACAGAACCCCATTCTGCTCGACCGGACTCTGACTCGGAATCGCTAAACTTTTTGTCAACCAAACTCACTCAGACTCAAGCTCGCCATAGTGTTACCACCCAGATTCATGACTGACCTGAGTTTAAGTGAGCCAAATAATGAGTCCGTCGGCGTAAAATGATATTTTTTATCATGGTTTCAATTCTTTTCGACGTCAATATCTCACATCATTCGGCCTTGATAAAACACCCTTTGTTCGTGTACTTTTAAATATAAATTTTCAGTGGTTGCAATCTAGTAAAACATTTTTTAAATACGTGACTCACTGGAGATATTTTATCAAGAATGTTACATAAAGAGTTCGCTCGGGTGAGGTCTTGACATATCGCGACCCCCTTTGCATCCTTGATCACGTAAAACTGAGGGGGCATGTGAACGCTATGTGTGTTGAGATACGTGTGAATGGAGCTGAGTGTAAACGTGAGCGAATATGAGACTGTCAGTAGTGCAGAAGTTGAGCAGATAGGAACGCAGATAGCAGTGGGGAAACACTAAAAACGTTAACACATTTTCGATAAACGTCAATCAGAATTCGAAGAATGCGTGAAGGTAACCCTTCGTTGTGGTTCACCAAAAGTGACTTCAAATCCAATTAAATGAAACTTTATTTCAACATTTGTACAATGTTGAGGACTATGAACAAAAATCCAGCAAGGCTTGACGAGGTTCATGGCTCATATTTTTCAGGCAGAAACAAGCAACGAATAAGAGCAGCAACTCAACACTGAAACATAACTTATAAATTATAAGCTAGTGACACAACTCATAATACACAATACACAAATCTAGAAACATTACTCATCATTAGACATATAGCTTAGAATTAGCTCATATTTTTCAGGCAGAAACAAGCAACGATTGAGAGCAGCAACTCAACACTGAAACATAACTTATAAATTATAAGCTAGTGACACAACTCATAATACACAATATACAAATCTAGAAACATTGCTCGTCATTAGACATACTGAAAATTCAAAAGTAAGCAAAATAAAATTTATATGAATGACAACGCAAAAGTTGATGAACAGAATACATATAAAAAGTGGAAACAGATGTTTTATACAAAAATATATACCGCATTTTGGCCACTACCACATAGGCATGTGCACATACAGCATATGTTGACTCTTTGACACAACGAACTTAAATGTTATTTGACGTTATTCATGCTTGAAAGGTATGAAAGTTTATGCTGCAACATTCGGTAGGTATAACTTTTTCTGGACCTCAGTAGTTAGTTCCCATATTTCGAAGCTCCTTGTGATAATTGTTTTATGTTTTGGCATCAAATTGGAAATGCGTTTTAGGGTGTCATTTTTTCTAATACTGTTGTCATAACTTATTTTCAATATATTTTTGTAAATGTTAGGCATTGGTAGCAGATGCAATTTTTCGAAAAGAGGACTCGTTGGCGTTATGTACGCAGCATTTAGAATACAATGCATAGCTTTTTAGCATTCTATGGAGAGTAGAAATGTTAGTAACTGTTGAGCCCTAGACGAAATGACGGTAGTTTAGGTATGATAGAAACAGAGATTCATATAATGTATGTTTAACCCTTTTTGGACGAAAAAAAAACTTGACTTGCACAGTAATCCAATCACCTGAGAGAGTTTACCCACCACCATTTGCACGTGATCATTCCATGATGGATGTTGCTCAAACATGACACCAAGGCATTTAAAAGAGCTTACAATTGGCTGAATGAAGTTATTGAGATTGTGGAGATATGTAAATTTGCACTAGGCTTATCTACTAAGCGCAACCGTGTTAGGGTGCGAAGTCCTCCACTGCCGCTGCATGCAACGACGATGCGGCCAGGTTCATCGATTTCTCCGACACGGCGCAGAAACCACGCACGAGGCAGAAAACAAGAACAACGGGTTTATTAACCCAAGATGCAGCACAGTGTGAAACTCACGTGCTTGCAGGCCGTATAGGGAACTCCGCAAGACCTAGCAAGTACGCTTGCCTAGGGCGCGACGACTCCCGCACAAGGGCCGAAGTCGAACACACGAACGAGAAGCCGCCTGCTTAAACGAGCGTCAACCCCTCGTGAAGCCCTGAGAGCATCTGCCGCGACGAGCGAATCGTCGGGCGCAACACAGCTCGTAGGAGAGGAGGATGTCACGCGCGCCCAAAGGGAAATGGCGCTGCGTTGTGACGTAGCCCGCGCAGCGCGCCAGCGTAGCGTGCCCGGACATGCCAGCGCGGGAACTTGCCCAGACCAAGAGGCGCCCTGGCAGCAATCTTGGCGGATGCCTGTGCTTATGCGCGCCCGGGCTACGCCGTCGGCGCACGCGTGGCAGCTGGGGAGTGAGGCGCGCGGTAGGAGGGCACTCTCGATTCCCACATCCCTCCCTCTTAAGGCCGAGGCCGCCCTAAAGACGCCGTAATAAAAGCATCCGCCGACACGTTTATTCGGAACAATCGAATAAAGGTGTCCAGATCAGTGCCGTCCAAGAGATCGACGGGCGCCCCAGTGTCTTCGTTTGGCAGCGTCTCAGCAGGAACCAGGGGCCGCCGGAGAGTGGCAGAACCCGCAGCAGCGATGGCCGACTTGAACGATGAGTCCGTGACGAGCGCCGCCACGACCACCTGAACGGAGTAGGTCGACAAGGCAGGTTGAAGTCCCGGGCCAGGCGGCACCGCCGGAGTGGACAGGACCGCAGGGGCACCACCGGACTTCGTTCGGTGAACCCGTGAACGGAGGTTGGTAGCCTCGTGCACCAGCAGGACTCCGCAAGCGTCGCAGTAGGAGGCCTCGGGAACAGACGGCATCGAGGCACCTCCAGAAGCGTCGAGCAGGTCTGAAAGGGTGCGCTTGCGGAAAGGACGCGGGACGGACTCGGGGTCTAACCCCACCCAGACTTTGGACCAACGACGAGTCGACACGAAGGCAACCGGGGCCTCAGTGCCATGTAGGAACGTCCACGTAGCGACTTCACTACGAGGCGGTGTCTTGTTAGCCGGGGCCGGGGGAGCATTCGATGGAGGCGGCATGGACGCGGCCGGTGCCTGCGGAACGACTGAGCGCGCGGCTGGTCTCCCGGGCTTTTTCTTGGAAGAACGGGTCATCGAGGAGGACATAACGAAAGCTGGGGTGTCGGTGAAAAGCCAAAACGCAACTGAAGGTGTGGTCCCGGAGGCGCGACAGGCTGGCCCAATAAAGAGAGCCGACTCCGTCGGATTGAAGGTTGCGTCAGCCAATAGGGCGCACGCTTCCCTTCTCCCGCCGACTACGCGGAAGATACCAAGTGAGATTGAGCCACCGGGGAAAGGGCTTTTTTTTCTCGAGCAGCCGGAAGCGCTGGGAACTGAATGGATATTCCGCGCGCAGCGCGTGTAATGGTATTCCCAGAGAGAAAGCTCGCCAGGTCGCCGTTGCTCTTGCTGCTGGATAGGCTCTAGCACAGCAGCTATAAATCTCCGCTCCCTTACATGGAGGGGATAACGTCTCGCTACAGGCTGGAGGCGAAAGTCAGCCTAAGTGCGTTTTCGCAGGTTGTAGCGGTGGCGTGGTTTGGAACCAGCCTTATCCCGGTTTCCCTGTGGTTCGGTGATCGCCTCCCCCTCCCCGAAGTCGTTGCTGCGGGCAACGAAAGGTTTGAGGTTTGAGGGAGTCAGCCAGCTTGTATACCAGGGGCGACACTTTGGTCTGCATTTGGTATGGGCCCAACCACTTGGCCGAAAGGGAGGCCGAGATGCCTTTGGCGGCGTCACTCAAGGCGTGATTGCGCCTGGGGACGAGATCGCCGACATCGTAACGGACATCCCGATGCGACCGGTCATATTGAGCCTTCTGACCAGCTCGCGCTTTTTCCAGGTTGGAACGCGCCAGGTCGAGGGCCGCGTCCATTCGTGAGCGCAGTTCCGCCGCGTAGCCAGACGGGCTGACCATCACGGCGCTTGCACCGCCACTGCCCCGCAGGACGCTGTCCATGGGGTTAGGCAGCTCGCTCTCAAAGTTGAGAAAGGCGGTCGTGTACCCTGTCGAGTGATTGACCGCAGACCGCAAGAAGAAGCCTATCTCGTTGAGACAGGCATCCCAATCACTGTGTTGCTGCGAAAAGGCTGTCAG